ATATGGGGGGGACAGGTGTCCCAAAGGAGAGACTGTGGGGACAGGTGTCCCAAAGGAGAGACTGTGGGGACAGGTGTCCCAAAGGAGAGATTGGGGGGACAGGTGTCCCAAAGGAGAGACTGTGCCTTTTTTGGATCGGGACAGAGCATCCTTAAAAGACAACCCTAGAAGCAGCTCTGGTCCATGTTCAGTGGTGAGAGCACTGGACATGAAAAGGAAGAGGTCATGACGCAGATGTACTCCGGGCGGTGCCACAAGTGACACAGGAACACACGAGGCTTCAGCTGTGTTTCCAGGGGAAGCCCATGGCACAAGAAGGACTCCTCTCCTCTTGATGAACTGAGGATTGATTGTTTGAAGGGTGGTGCTGGACCGAGAGTTGGTGATTTGAGGAACAAATGTATTGTGTTGGAAATTTGGTGGGGGGAGGAGGAAATGCATTTGTGAGGTTTTCATTTTCCCAGTGTGTGTGTTCCTTTTATCTGTAGTTGTAGAGTAGTTAATAAAGTTCTGGCTCTTTTTTCCCTAAGTAGGAGCCTGCTTTGCTTATTCCTGGTCCCATCTCACAGCAGAAACCAGGGAGAAGGTATCTTCATGGGGGCACTGGCATTGTGCCAGTGTTAAACCATGACAGCTGGGAATAAAGCTCTGTATTAAAGGAGATTGAGTTGGGGTTGGAGTTGCCTGGAGGCTCTGGAATCACCAGCAGGTGCATTTAGGGTTTGTCATTTAGGGTTTGTCAGGTGTTTCAGGAACTCCTCGTGCCTGGCAGGGAGCTGGGCAGATTTCTCAGCAGCCTTTTCTAACAAATAATCTCCATTTTCTGCTAAGCTCTTCCTGCCTCTGCCACATGCCTTGTAATCCTTTTACTTCACAGCTTCTTAGATCCCATTCAAAAGAAAAGAAAACATTTTAAAATATAAAATAAAATAAAAATAAAAACCCCAAAATAAAAAAAATCCCCCAAAAAACCCCCAAAATAAAAACCCAAAAAAAGTGGTTTTACATTTATAGATTTTTGTGACCACAGCTCTGCTCTTGGCAAAGTTTCCCCAATGGGAATATCCAATTTCATTATTGGCACCTGCATATCTTTTGATGGTTTTCATTCTTTCTCTGCCAAAAAAAATCTCTTTTTTTGGGACAGTGTTTATAGATTTCAATGCTTCTGGTTTCCAAAGAAAGCTCAGGGTTAAGAGTGTGGTTTAAAATCACATCTCAATGGTCTGGATTGACTTTGGGCACTAAAATCATGACAAGAAAATGAGGAACCTTCCATTAGGAAAAGTTCTTCAATAGCACTTCTGGAAGTTCTGTTCTTTGAGCAGCTTGAGGATTATATCACACACATACCTTCTGTAGGTCTCCAGAAGAATTATTTCTGTGTCAAAATTCCACTTATTCAAGTCCTCAGAATTTTTTTGGGAAATTTTTTGGGAATTTTTTTGGGATATTTGGGAATATTTTGCCAATTTTTAGGTCCAAAAATCAGAATTTAATTCAAATGTTTCCCTTCTCCCCCAGGAATTTCTCCCCATTCCTGGGGTTTTTTTGTTTGGACCTTTTAACTCCCATTTTTTTGTCAATTTTTTGCCAATTTTTGGCTGATCAGTGCTTCAAGCAGACAATACAAATACTTTTATAGGTAGAAAAAAACCAATGGAAATATATAATATTTATTGATTGAAATATTCAAATCACTCCTGTTGCACAAGATGGTTGTTGGGTGCCTCAAAAATACCTGAACCTAGAAAAGCAGTGTTTAAAATTCTCATGAATAGCTTTGGTGTTGGAGATGTTAACAAAATATTGGAGATAGAAATATTGGAGATAGAAATATTATTGGAGATGTTAACAAAATATTGGAGATAGAAATATTATTGGAGATAAAAATATTATTGGAGATGTTAACAGAATATTGGAGATAGAAATATTGGAGATAGAAATATTATTGGAGATGTTAACAAAATATTGGAGATAGAAATATTGGAAATAAAAATATTCTTGGAGATATTGACAAAATATTGGAGATAGAAATATTGGAGATAGAAATATTATTGGAGATAGAAATATTATTGGAGATAGAAGTATTGGAGATAGAAATATTATTGGAGATAGAAATATTATTGGAGATGTTAACAAAATATTGGAGATAAAAATATTATTGGAGATAGAAATACTGGAGATAGAAATATTATTGGAGATAGAAATATTATTGGAGATGTTAACAAAATATTGGAAATAGAAATATTGGAGTTAGAAATATTGGGAGATAGAAATATTATTGGAGATATTGACAAAATATTTGAGATAGAAATACTGGAGATGGAAATATTATTGGAGATAGAAATATTATTGGAGATGTTAACAAAATATTGGAGATAGAAATATTGAGATAAAAATATTATTGGAGATATTGACAAAATATTGGAGATAAAAGTATTATTTGAGATATTAAGAAAATATTGGAGATAGAAATATTGGAGATAGATAGATAGAAATATTGGAGATAGAAATATTATTGGAGATAGAAGTATTGGAGATAGAAATACTATTGGAGATAGAAATATTTTTGGAAATAGAAATATTATTGGAGACAGATAGATAGAAATATTGGAGACAGATAGATAGATAGATAGAAATATTGGAGGTAGAAATATTATTGGAGCTGGAATATTGGAGCTGGAAATATTGGAGATACAAATATTCTTGGAGATATTAACAAAATATTGGAGCTGGAAATATTATTGGAGCTACAAATACTGTTGGGGCTGTTGATAGCGAGCCCTGGCAGCGGTGCCGTGCTCCGAGCTTGCTCATTGCTGGCAGGAGGATCCCAGAGCGGCTCCGCTGTGCAGCTCTGAGCGCTCATGGGCCTGCACAGAATGGGGAATGGGGAATGGGGAAATGGGGAAATGGGAACCCTGCTGCTGCTGCTGCTGCTGCTGCCTGGGGATGGCTGAGCCACAGCACAACTGAGAAATGGAGGGATTTATTCCAATAATAAAGATTCAATAAGAATTTAGTGATAAATTACTATGACACCACAGAACTTATGTGATATGTTATTATATTATAATGGTGTAAGAAATTTAAAAATTTAATAATGAATTGTAGTGGTTTATTAAGATAAAATGTAATAAATCTTTTAATAAAGAATAAAAATAAAGAATAAAGACTATAAAATAAAGAATAAAAAGAAAGATTAAAAATAAAGAATATAAATAAAGAATATAAAATAAAGAATAAAAAGAAAGATTAAAAATAAAGAATAAAAATAAAGAATATAAAATAAAGAATAAAGAATAAAAAGAAAGATTAAAAATAAAGAATGAAAATAAAGAATAAAGACTATAAAATAAAGAGTAAAGAATAAAAAGATTAAAAATAAAGAATAAAAATAAAGAATAAAGAATATAAAATAAAGAGTAAAGAATAAAAAGAAAGATTAAAAATAAAGAATAAAAATAAAGAATAAAGACTATAAAATAAAGAGTAAAGAATAAAAATAAAGAGTAAAGATTAAAAATAAAGACTATAAAATAAAGAATAAAGAATAAAAATAAAGATTAAAAAAAGAATAAAAAGAAAGAATCAAGAATATAAAATCAAGAATAAAAGTAAAGATTAAAAATAAAGAATCAAGAATATAAAATCAAGAATAAAGAATAAACATAAAGATTAAAAGTAAAGAAAAAAAAAATGAATCTTTTAATAAAGATTTATTCCAAGGCCTGCATGGATGCACCTTGGGCAGCACCAGAGCCCAGCCAGGGCTGCACCCAAGATGAACCAAAATGGCCCCAAAATGCACAACCAGGTATTTTTTATTTTTTATTATCAGCAGTCACTTTTTAATTTCTTTTTTATTTGTTATTATCAGCAGTGACTGAACTGTCCCATGCAGAGCAGGACTAAATTATAAAAGTCATTTTAGCAGCAAGGATTTCATTCTGGGACAGTTTATTGCTGAATAGTTCAGTCAGTAGTTTATTCAAGTTTTAATAAGCTGTGTTCATACATTTATAACTAATATTGATTATTAATAAATAACATTACCTGGTGTTTTAACTGAGGGTCAGGACAACTGGAGATGAGGGAAATAACTAAGAAACAATGCAGCAAATACATCTATTGAATTGTGACAGTATTTTTAGTGCTTCTGGGTTTTGTTTTTTGTTTGCTTCTATAGTTCTTTAATGCCTAATCAGAAATTCCAGTGGAGTCTGGGGGTTGTTCTTGTGTGAAAACAGAAACTCCTGGGATGGGTTGGGTTGGGATGGGTTGGGTTGGGTTGGGATGGGTTGGGTTGGGATGGGTTGGGTTGGGTTGGGTTGGGTTGGGTTGGAAGGGACCCCAGGGATGCTCCAGGGACACCTGAGCTGCCTGGGTTTGCTTTAATGCTGGGCTCCGGTTGTGGTTTCTGTATTTATGAAGCTCTTTCCTCAGTGGCCATTTGGGAAAGTTTTCATTGGGGTTTTATCTCTTGCTCTGACCAGGGGCTCTTTGTTTCCTCTTAAAATGCAGAAATGTCCTGGCAATGATTGAGTATGGGCTGTGTTCAGTGAACCTGAAGTTGGAACAGAGCTCTAAAATACCATTTAAATTTTGTTTTATTTTTTTTTTGGTGGGTGTAATGTCCTAAAATGTTTGGGATGCTGCTGTTAAAAATGAGGAGGTTGGAGAGTGGTGGCTGCCAGCACAGGGATTTAGGATGTGAAATGTCCTAAATCAGAATCATCCCCCAGCCCCTGCTCTGGACCTTTGCTCTCTTGCTGCAGCGTTTTTTACTGCCAGAGAGAAGCAGAATTAACTTCATTAATTATGGCACTCACTGATTGGTCACTCACAGAAGCAGAGCTGTCCCTGCTCAGTGCATTTCATTTATTCAGATGTAACTGGGCAGATTTGCAGAGGCTCACAAGTGAGGAGCTGGCTGGGATTTTGCTTTTGGAGGTTTTCCTTGGAGTTATTTTGGTGCTGGCAAAGAACTCTTGGTTTTTGAGCTCTCAGGAGTTGGATTTGAGTTCTTTTGATTTAAATTTATTATAAAAATTTGATGAATTGATTTGTCAAATTTTTAGTATCAATTTTTAAAACAATCATTAAAACCCCCATAAAATGGAACTTTTTGACTTTTCGATGCAGCCAAGTCAACCAAACTGACTTCATTTTCTTGCATGGACTGAAAACCATTCTGGAAGCCTCCTGAAGGTTTGGTCCTGGTTTAAAACAGGCTGGTGGAGCTGGTTGTGTGGAGGCCTGTTCACATGGAGGCTGTTTTCCAGGAAGGGCTGGCTGAAAGGCAGGAGGGGAATTGTTCCTCTGTGTCTGGAGGGAGGAGCCTGGGAGGTGCCACGAGAGCCAGGCTCTGCTGTTCCAATAAATGGATTTCTTTCCTCTTGGTGTTTCCCCCCATTCATAATCCATATGGTCAAACAGAACACTTCTGTGGGTTTGGAATTCAAAATTAAAAAAAGGAGAATTGTTCCTCTTTGTCCTGGAGGGAGGAGCCTCTGAGGTGCCATGAGAGCCAGGCTCTGCTGTTCCAATAAATGGATTTCTTTCCTCTTGGTGTTTCCCCCCATTCATAATCCATGTAGTTAAACAGAACACTTCTGTGGGTTTGGAATTCAAAATTAAATTAAAAATTTTCTGATCACCAAACAAGTGAGATAATATTATTAAAATCTTTAACAACTCCCATCTCTGAGTATTTTACTGTAGAATTGTTGATAATTCCTGAGAGCTGCAGTAGCAATATGTCCATGGAAATAGAAAAGAAGAAGTAAAATGTCCATTATTGTGGAAATAGAAGGTGAAGTAAGAATTAAAATATCCAATACTATGGAAATAGGAAATAGGAATTAAAATGTCCATAGCTGTGGAAAAATAAGATGAAATAAGAATTAAAATGTCCAATACTATGGAAATAGGAAATAAGAATTAAAATGTCCATAGCTGTGGAAAAATAAGATGAAATAAGAATTAAAATGTCCATTACTATGGACATAGAAAATAGGAATTAAAATGTCCATTACTATGGACATAGGAAATAAGAATTAAAATGTCCATTACTATGGACATAGGAAATAAGAATTAAAATGTCCATTACTATGGACATAAAAAATAAGAATTAAAATGTCCATTGCTGTGGAAAAAGTAAATCAGAACTAAAATTTCTGTTACTGTGGAAAAAGAAGATGAAATAAGAATTAAAATATCCAATATTATGGAAATAGGAAATAAGAATTAAAATGTCCATTATTGTGGAAATAGAAGGTGAAATAAGAATTAAAATATCCAATACAATGGAAATAGGAAATAGGAATTAAAATGTCCATTACTATGGACATAGGAAATAGGAATTAAAGTGTCCAATACTATGGAAGTAGGAAATAAGAATTAAAATGTCCATTGCTGTGGAAAAAGAAAATAAGAACTAAAATTTCCATTACTGTGGAAAAAGAAGATGAAATAAGAATTAAAATTTCCATTATTATGGACGTAGAAAATAAGAATTAAAATGTCTATTACTGTGGACAGAGAAAATAAGAATTAAAATGTCCATTACTATAGAAAAGATGATGAAATAAGAATTGAAATGTCCATTACTGTGGAAAATGATGATGAAATAAGAATTAAAATGTCCATTACTGTGGAAAATGATGATGAAATAAGAATTAGAATGTCCATTACTATAGAAAAGGTGATGAAATAAGAATTAAAATGTCCATTGCTGTGGAAAATGATGATGAAATAAGAATTAGAATGTCCATTACTATAGAAAAGGTGATGAAATAAGAATTAAAATGTCCATTGCTGTGGAAAAAGATGATGAAATAAGAATTAAAATGTCCATTTGTTGCAGGTTGTGATGTTAAATTATAAGAAAGGGTTTCTGGTGGCAACCACAACGTTTGGAGGGGGAATCAGTGGGAATTCCTGGGCTGTTTTTGCCCATTCCTGGGTTGGTTTTGCCCATTCCTGGGTTGGTTTTTGCCCATTCCTGGGTTGGTTTTTGCCCATTCCTGCGTTGTTTTTGCCCATTCCTGGGTTGGTTTTGCCCATTCCTGGGCTGTTTTTGCCCATTCCTGGGTTGTTTTTTCCCATTCCTGGGTTGGTTTTTGCCCATTCCTGGGTTAGTTTTTGGCCCATTCCTGGGTGTTTTTGCCCATTCCTGGGCTGTTTTTGCCCATTCCTGGGCTGTTTTTGCCCATTCCTGGGTGGTTTTGGCCATTCCTGGGTGTTTTTGGCCATTCCTGGGCAGGATTCCTTGGCCCTTGGTCCAGTTGCCCTCCAGCTGGGAGCCAGCATTGCCTGGCTCATGGAAACTCTGAGGAAAGGTTGAATTTTCCTGGGGCTCCAGGATGCAGCAGCTGCAGGCACAGGCAGTGGAAAGAATGAGCAGCTCCTGCCTGGGGTGGTGGAACACACAGGAATCAGCTCAGGGCAGCTGGGGTCAGCAGGGCCTCTCCAAAACCAGCCCACCACAAACAAATCCCCACATCATGGGGTGTTCTCCCCTTGGGGAAGGCTTAGAATCTGTGTAAGGTACAAATCAAGCCAATCTTGGAAGTTTTTCAGGGATCTGTCCCAACAGAAAAGCCCAGAGCAGCTGAAGTGCAGGAATTCTCCACAGGAGGTGCTGTCAGGAGAGGTTGCTTGTGGTGGTGTGTTTTATGCTTGTTCAGTTTTCCCCCCATTGTTCTCTCAGAAAGTCCTGCCCTGTTACCAGTTTGTGTCAATCCCCAAACCCCTCCCCAGTTGTCTTGGTTATCTTTCTTGTTCCCCACCCCTGGCAGCCTGCCTGTCACTCGACACCCCTGCCTCTTTTTCTAGAGAGTTCGGGCCAGGATGTCGAGTGATTGGGTTAGGGGCCAGGGTCCCTCCCGCAACTGTGTTTGATGGGTTCTCCGATCATGCCAATCCTTAATGTATCCCTCTCTGATTTGCTATCTTTCACCCCTCCCACCCTCTGTAAAACCGAGGCTTTCCCTGCCTCGGGGCTCTCAGCTTCTTCCACCGAAAAACTCCACGTTTCCCTACCAATAAAACCGCCCCCCAAAGAAACTGAGGGTCGCCTCTTCATTTCATCCTGCGACTTCGGAGCTCTTTACTGCGGCCACACGTCCGCAAGGCTTGACATCGCCTTGGGCACAAGGCCCTGACCCCGGGTTGGGGAGGTGCCTGACTGGCTGGAGGTTGGCTGGACACTTATCTAGCCTGGGCGTTTTACTTTTCACCGGCCACTGCTCCAGTTGCTCTTTAATCTGTTCCTTCCTCAGCTGCCAGAGTGCAGTTCTGGCCTTACCCACTGCTCTGCAGGGATGTTGTATCTGCAGGGATGTTGTATCTGTTGTATCTGCAGGGATGTTGTGTCTGCAGGGATGTTCTATCTGTTCTATCTGCAGGGATGTTCTATCATCTGCAGGGATGTTCTATCATCTGCAGGGATGTTCTATCATCTGCAGGGATGTTGTATCTGCAGGGATGTTGTATCTGCAGGGATGTTGTATCTGCAGGGATGTTCTATCTGTTCTATCTGCAGGGATGTTCTATCTGTTCTATCTGCAGGGATGTTGTGTCTGCAGGGATGTTGTATCATCTGCAGGGATGTTGTATCTGTTCTATCTGCAGGGATGTTCTATCTGTTCTATCTGCAGGGATGTTCTATCTGTTCTATCTGCAGGGATGTTGTATCTGCAGGGATGTTGTATCTGCAGGGATGTTGTATCTGCAGGGATGTTCTATCTGCAGGGATGTTCTATCTGCAGGGATGTTCTATCATCTGCAGGGATGTTGTGTCTGCAGGGATGTTGTGTCTGCAGGGATGTTGTGTCTGCAGGGATGTTCTATCTGTTCTATCTGCAGGGATGTTCTATCTGTTCTATCTGCAGGGATGTTCTATCTGCAGGGATGTTCTATCTGCAGGGATGTTCTATCATCTGCAGGGATGTTGTATCTGCAGGGATGTTGTATCTGCAGGGATGTTCTATCTGCAGGGATGTTCTATCTGTTCTATCTGCAGGGATGTTCTATCTGCAGGGATGTTCTATCTGTTCTATCTGCAGGGATGTTGGATCTGTTCTATCTGCAGGGATGTTCTATCTGTTCTATCTCCAGGATGTTCCATCTCCCCTGCTGGCAAAGAGGCACCTCCAGACATTTCTCTGGCTGAATTTGGTAGCAGATGCACAACTGTGTTGGCTTTCAGCAAGTGAGGGTTCCTAACCCAAAAATCACTGCCTGGAATATTGAGAAATTTAAAATCTTTTCAGAAATTTATTTTCTAATGCTGCCTTTTTTTGCCCCTTTAATCAAAACAGGTGGGTTCTTGCCATATGAATAAAGAAAGAAATAAAATGCATCCTCAGAGCTCTGTTGTTATATATCTTAACAGCTTGAAATGCCAGTGTGGCACTAATTAATGGCTAAGCTAATTACAGTGTGTCAGGCATTAACCTCACCAAAAATGCAGGAGATTTCGGTTAAATTCCAGCCTCTTCTGTGGCTCCTTTTATTATATAAAAGTTATAAAATATATATATGTACGTACATATATATATATATAAAAATATATAAATATATATATTTATATTTATATTATAATATATAAAAAGTGTATATATAAAAAAGTATATATATAAATATATAAATATATAAAAATATATAAATATAATTTATATATAAATTATATTTATATATTTATAAATTTATAATATAAATTTATAATTTATAAATATATACATATATATATTATATTTATATATTTATAAGCCTGGTTTAAACTGCCCCAGTTCAGTGTATAAAAATACAAAAATATAAATATTTATATATTTATAAATATAAATTTATAAATATATACATATATAAATATTATTTTTATATAATTCTATATAAAATATAACTTTTATAGATTATAAAAGTTATTTATATATAAATATATATAAAAATAACTTTTATAATATATAAAAGTTACATTTATAATATAAAATTATATAAAAATAATGAAATCTTTTATTATATTTTATTATTTTATCAGGGGTTTGGATGGGATAGTGGAAGGGGGTTGGAATTAGATGATCTTTAAAGCCTCTTCCAACCAAACCATTCCATGATCTTTAGGAGTACTTTTGAAATCCTTGTGAAAATTCCAGGTGCACTTGTTTTGTTCTTTGAAATGCAGAAACTTCTTGTAATTGCTTTGAGTGTTCTCCTCCCCTCCCAGAACATTCTTAGAAAACATTTTTGAAGTTTCTCTTCCATTCTTGCCTCTGTGAGTGCAGTGGAAAATGTCATTCTTGACAGATCACAGAAATTCCAGCCTGCTCTGACCGGCTCCTGGTGTTTTCCAGAGCCTCCTGCGTTCAGGTTGAATTTTTGATTTCCTTTTGTTTTTCCCTTAGTCACAGAGGATGTGTCAGAGGATGCACACGGAGCTGCTGCTTGCCTTGATGATATCTTTAATATTTGAGTTCAACAAATGCTGCTGTCGTGTTAGAAGGAGCTAGAAATGAAAACAACCCCAAAACCACCTGCTGTTCTCATCCTTATCTGTGCTCTCCCTCAAGCCATGGTTTTGGCATAATACAGCTGCATTTCTCATGATAATAAATTGTTAAGTACAGAAGTCTTTTTCATCCTGCTCCAATGGGATTATGTCACATCTTCACTCAGTGGCACAGCTGGAAAAACACCATAAAAATTTAGAAAAACACTTCAGGGAAAACTGCCTTACCTGTTAGAATTTTTTATTTAATTTATTTTTTACTTTTCAGAAACGGCAGTTAAACAGGAAAAGCAAAAAAAAATCCTAAACCTGTGACCCCACAGATGATACAGTCCTGAAGGTGTGTGGGAAGCACAAAATGGCTGCAAAATGTTGGTTAATCAGAGTGAATGAATGAAGCAGTATAAAATAATGAGCAGCTGAATAATTCTTGGGCATGGCTGGGAGTGCCATGAAGTTTTTATTGAATGGAATCAGAATGGTGTGGAATGGAAGGGAGATCAAAGATGGTCCCAGTGCCACCTCCCACTGTCCCCAATGTCCATCCTGGCCCTGAGCACTGCCAGGGGTCCAGGGACAGCCCCAGCTGCTCTGGGAATTCCATCCCAGCCCCTGCCTAATTCCCAAAACTTCCCAAATTCCTGATTCCCAGAACCCCATCCCTCCCTGCCCCTTCAGCTGAGGCCATTCCCTGTGTGCTGGCCCTGCAGCCCTGTGGAAGAGTGCATTGGGGTGAAATGCAGATGATTTTAGTGGCTGGCTCTGGGGGATTCTGTGGAGCTGCAGGGAGTAAATCAAGAGTGAAATCCAGCCCCATCGTGCTGTGGAATTCAGGGCCATGAGGAGGAGCTGGGACCTGGCTTGCTGCTATTTAGGGACCACTTGGGGCTGGGAAGCAAATGCTGCCAGTGGGGGCTATTTTTGAGAGGTGTTTATTTCTCACTGTTCATCAGCTCCTGCAGTTATTTGTAGTAGATCCATCCTTTTCCAGTGCCTTGGTGAGTAATGATGCTGTAAAAGGTAAAAATCAAAAAAAAAAAAAAAAACTCCTGAAGAAATAGATGTAAAAAATCCTTGGTTCTAGGAGGAGCAGATGGAATGACAGGAATGAGGTGTTGATCACTCAGCGATTGTAAATTGGAAAGCAGAGTTAAATCCTCCTTTTGTGTCCTGGACTAAGCCTGGTTTAAACTGCCCCAGTTCAGTGTTTGGTGCTGGTGGTTTCATCATCATCATAGCAGAGCAGTTCCCCTCATTTTATCCTGAAAAACTGCCCGAGGAGAAACTCTCAGCCCAAGGGAAAGGATCCTGTGAGAGCTGAGGGAGAGAAGAACAAAATCCACCTTCAACATGGCAGACCATGAGGGTGTGGGGAAAAGAGCTGCATCCAAAAATCTGAACACAACCACCATGAGCAAAGAAATGCTGAAAGATTTTCATGTGTCAACCCAGTCAGGTCAGCCTGGAAGTGAAGAATCTTTTATTTTTTAAAATAGATTGGATGTGGGACACCAAATTCACTAATGAGCTCTGACTGTATTTATTTCATGTATTTGCAAATTATTGTTTAATCTCTCTCCCCCCCAGTTATTTGAGTCTCCCTTTGTTGCTGCCTGTCCTGATGAGGGCTTTGCCTTGCAAATGCTGATTTGAAGACTCCAATTTGGCATTTCAGCCCTTGCTGTAAGGTGGGGGTTGCAGAAGGTGGAACTGGAAATGCTGTTTAAGCTCTTCCCTTGCTCTGCTGGGCAGGTTGGAAATGTCAGCTGGGATTTTCTGAGCTGGCTTCAGGCACTATCAAGGTAGAGGCAGTTGGATCAGATCCCTTTGACAAATGATTGGTTTGTGGTGCCTAAAAATACAAAATAGAGTTTGTGAAACTCTGCCTGCCAAAAGGGGCTCACAGTCATGGCCAGGCTGTTCTTGTGGAGAACACTTGAGCACATTAAAACACTCCAAGCTTTTTAGAGGAGTACTTCAATCAGAACCCAGATCATCTGGAAAAAATGATAAGGCTCAGCTGCTCACAGGGCACAGTCCTGCTGGCAGAGTTTGCTGAGGGCTGAGCACACAGCAGAGGTTTTTCCTTTGACTGGAACATTGCTGCTACTGGAGCTTAATGAGGTTCCTCAGAAATACCTTGGAGAGTGGCACCAGCTGCAGACACACCAGGAATAGCTCAGGGCTGAGCCCTCCTGGGAGCTTTGGGCCCTTTCTGCCCCCATGGGGAAAAAAGAGTGGGGGGAGTTTCCAAAACAGGGCTGGGGGCTGAGCAAAGCAATAAACAGAAATTCTGAAACAGTCTGGGGAGAGCTGGAGCTGCTGCAGAGAGCCCAGAGGAGGCTCCAGGATGGGCAGAGGGATGGAGCAGCTCTGCTGGGAGGAAAGGCTGGCACAGCTGGGATTGTTCACCTGCACAGGAGAAGCTTTGGGCTGAGCTCAGGGTGGCCTTGCAGGGCCTGCAGGAGCCCCAGGAAAGCTGGAGAGAGACAATTTCCAGGGGATGCAGGGACAGCACCCAGGGAATGGCTGCCAGTGCCAGAGGGCAGGGCTGGGTGGGATCTTGGCAATGAGGAATTGTTCCCTGGCAGGGTGGGCAGGGCTGGCATGGAATTCCATCCCTGGATCCCTGGCAGTGCCCAAGGCCAGGCTGGGCACTGGGGACATTGGAGCAGCCTGGGACAGTGGGAGGTGTCCCTGCCATGGGAGGGCTGGCACTGGGTGGGCTTTGAGGTCCCTCCCAACCCAGTCTGGGATTCTTTACCTTAGGAATTCCCTCCAAGTGTGTTATCACCCTCAGATTTATTATTTGACCTTGACTTGGAACATTTTACAACACTGGAAACCTGTTCTGGTCTTGGAATGAATCACAGAATCATGGAATGGTTTGGGATGGAAGGGACCTCAAATCCCAGCAGTGCCACCCCTGCCATGGCAGGGACACCTCCCACTGTCCCCAGTGTCCAGCCTGGCCTTGGGCACTGCCAGGGATGCAGGGCAGCCCCAGCTGCTCTGGGCACAGAGAGCTGAATTTGTTTGCTGTGGAATTGCAGCAGCCCAGGTATAATCAGTGTGGAAAATGTCCCAGGGAGCTTTGGTATCCCCACAGCTGATCTGCATGGGAGTCAAAGGTCCCTCACATTTCTTGTGGAAAATGGGAGGGGATGAGGGGCCTGGGAGCTGCTTTGAAGGTTTATTTAAGCAGCACCCTCCAGACTCAGCTGGATCAGAGGCTCAGCAGGACTTGGAGCAGGTCTGAGCTGCTCTCACTGCTCTGTCTTGGGTTTAAGTGACACCTGAGGGATTTTAGGAACCAGTCAGCCATGGAGTCTCAGGGAACTTGTAATTATTTCACAGTCCCTCAAGGTAAAACAACTCTTTGTAGTGTTGTGACTTCCAAGAATAGAACAAAATTTACCAGGTGATACAAGTGTTCAGGGAGGCTCTTTCTGAATTTCCTTTAAATAAAATAATAAAAAAGGCACCTGGTTTTTAGGCTTCTAAGGCTGGAGTTCTAAGAAATGAGGACATGCAGGGAATAGGGTGAAAGATATGTATAAGTTTTGTTTTCTTCTGATATTTAGGGAAAAAGAATTAAATCAGAGTTGATAGAATGAAGTTACTAAAACTGCTGTTTGTCTCTAAAAGAGGGAGAGGCACAAAGATTCCAGTTAGAAGCCAGCCCAGGAGAACATCCTGCTTTCCATACCTTGCAGACTTTGAGAAATGTTTTCCAGGAAAGCTGAGTACAGCCATGAATCACTTCTGGAAAAGGCAGTGGAAGGAATTAGTCAAAGAAAGGCTGCAGTGGGCACCCTTTGCCTATCAGGAAATGGGGCAGCTTTCCATGATTCTGTACAGATCATGGGACACCCATTGGCAAAAGCTCTCATCAAAAGAGCAAGTGAAAAATTGCTGCTCATTTCTAAAAATGCTTATTTTGAAATAAATATAACATTTAATACCAGCCAGAAGGGCTTTTCTCTGAATTTCCCTTCTCTCCCTGAATTTTCCTGCTGGCATAATCAAGGGGGTTGGGGAGGAACTGGCAGTGAATGGGTCCTCCCAGGCAGTAAATTGGCCAAATATTTCTTTTCTGGTTGGTAATGAATTCATTATTTCATGTTATCAGTGTCATTATCTCCAGTTTCTGCTTTGCCCCTGCAAATCCCTGGCATAGTGGGAGAACCTCCATGGTTTTCCCACTCCTTCCCATGGTTTTAACATGATCTGTGTTTGTTTTTCTGCTGTTACAGGGCTAAAAGAAACCAGAAATTCCACCAAAAATGTGAGGAGGATGAGGGATTGCAGCTTTCTTGGAGTGAATTCTGGGGAAATTTTTGGGAGTGGGCTGTGGATCCAAATGTCTGGGGCAGCTCCTGGGCTTTGGAAAGAAAGAGCTGCTTTGGAAAGAGCTGCTTTCTCTGTCAGAGATGTGAAGCTGAATATTGAATGCCTGACAAATCCCATTTTCTGCAGCTCCCACTCCTTTGCCAAGAGCTGTCTCTGCCAAAAGTGGTGCATCCAGGATTTTTAGGGAGCTGCAGAGGAAGTTGGGATGTGTTTGGGTGTTTTGGTTTGTTGTGGCTTGGGTTTGGTGGTGGTGGTTTCTGTTCCTGTGGGAACAGCTCATGCATGGAATACTCTGGATTAAAGCAGCCAGGCCAGGGGGAAGAGGTTGAATTTTTGTGATTAATAAATGAAAGCTGCTGCCTTTGTTGTGTGCTCAGCTCCTGCTTTGGGAGGAGAGCAGAGTAAAGGAATGGTGCTTAAACACCTTGAATGTCCTGGGAAAGTGGGTGATGCCTCACTTCCCCTTAAATCCACCTGAAGCCATTTTAAAGGTTCAGCCATTCAGGACCCCTCAGAGCTGAGCTTGAGCCTCTCACTGCACCCCTCCAGCCCTTGGGATTTTTATTTCTCCACAGTTTGTGTCCACTTTGCAATGCCCCAGAGAGGCATTTGGAATTCTTCCTGTCACTTTTGGTGCTTGGTTATTAAAACCCAAAGCCTGCAGCCTCTGCCAAATACACTTTGCATTTCTCCCTTGTCCTTTAACCCTTTTTCCTGGTGGGAATTTTGTAAGAGGCTCCAGACATTCCAATATTTGGCTGCTCTCT